CTCCTATGGCAGGGGGGTTGGAACTAGATGATCTTTAAGGTCCCTTCCAACCTAAACCATTCTATGATTTGAGATAGTGGCTGGCACACCTGGGCTGTACTAGAAACAACACCTCTAGGTGCAGAAGAACTGAAGCTGTCCGGCCATCATGAGGAAGCCCATTATACTGTGTAACTGAACCCTGGCATGGGGAATCCACTGCTTGTTATAAAATTAAGGAAACAGAAATGTGTCATGTTTCTCTTTGATATGAGTTCTGCAGGGTGTCATGTTTTAGCTCCTGCCTATCCCATGCATTGAGAGCACACCTGAGAAATACATTAAGTTGGGACGTTTGATGTGTATTTCCTGTTCCAATTACTTTGATACTAATTTCTGTGAGGTTATGAAAGAGCGCTCTTGCAAGTTCTTTCCCTCACACACAAGAGGTCTCCCCAGTTCTGTGGTGCAGAAGCAAAAAGCTTCTGTTATTCTTGCCACAATTTCTCACTTTAATAGTGTGGAAGAGCAAGGTATCTTCTGCCTTCAAAGACGAAATTTCTTGAGCACCCATCACTTTGTTACTACAATCCGAGTTACAAACCTTTGAAAGTCACAAAAGTCTCAGTATATTTTAGTTACGTTTTACTTCTCAGACCATTTAAGAAATGTATATGCCAATATTTCATTCCCTTAGAAGCTTTCCATGTGATGTTATGCAGTCTGACAAAACTTTAAGATATTCTAAAAGAAGAAAAATGAAAAGTCAACCAAGGGTTTTTTTAAATAAATTAAAAGATAAGATAGAAAATGAACATACCAACAGCCATCATGTAATCCCAGCGGTCTATGAGGCACATATTGAAGATCAGGTGGTCAGATGTTTGCCCTTGGCCAATGAGTGGAATGTTTCTCTCCAGATTTTGAGTTATTGCAGAAGTCCAACCAACGAGAAACCAAAAGACTACCAGGAGAATAACAGCCAGCATCCTCATTACTCGCCCACCTGTCATGTATGGAATACGCTGAGCAGTTCGGGACAGGAACACCTTCAAAACCCTGAAAAATTCAGACAGTGCAGAATTAAAAAGAGCACTAGCTGTGTTGCAGGAATTAGACTTTCATTTTATTTCACTATCAGATTATTGAAAAAAAAAAAAAACCAACATTCTTTCCCCTGACAATATGTACAAGAGTGAAATTTGAAACATTATTACTTTCATATTCATTGTATTTCAATGGAACTGATTGCTGCCCAGAGAGTGCCACACAGCAATAATGGAAAATACTAGCTATGTTTATGTTAGAGACATGCACTCACATGCCATGTTGTCAAGCTGTTCTGTACCTTCCAGCTCCCTGTGGAAGACTTCCGTCTTTGGAAAAGGGAAGGTCATTTCCATAAAATAGCAACCACATGTGTGAGATTTCATTTGGTTTTGATGCTGCCTGTCTGCTCATCCCCAATCATACTATTTCCACAGAAAAAAATAGCACTTCTTGGATGCTTTTCCCATTGAGTTTGGTGCTCCTGAGGCAATACTCTACTCCTCATAGAGATAACCGTGGAAGGCACTTTGCTCATTAAGAGTTTTTGACTTGTTTAGAGGCAACATGGTTTTTGAGCTGGAACAGAACCATCATAAGAAAATCCATATGATATGTCAGGCACATATACCATGTAACAGCCATTGAACATGTAGCAGTCACTTTAAAAATATTCGCACTTACTATTTGGATAGGTTTCCCCCCGCCAAGAACTAGTCAAGGAAATATCACCGGCATTTTCTACCCATCAGCAATTGCTGAAGCAGAAAAAGGTTCTGCTGGGAGCATGAGGCCAACCAAAATTTGAGGCAATTGGCTCAGGAAGAGGGAGTAGTTTGACCCTTCGCATAGCACAGAGTATCTCTTCGTGTTGCCTGCAGCGTGGGATCCGACAGAAGTATCTAACCTTCTCCTGGTGTTTTCCTACAAGAAAAGGAGGCTGCAGGAGCTGCTGCTGCCATTGCAGTGCTCCTGCCTTGACCCTGCCAAGCTACACAGGCTGGGCAGTGAGGAAAGGCTGGCACAGAAGTTCTCAAGTACCCAAACCTTTAGAAATGGATGGGTTGAGATTTAAAGGCTTCTTTTAGAGACTGGGGTGAGGAGCCTTTCAAAGTGAACAGGTGAGCTGTTTCAGTGATTTTGCCCCCAAAACCATGGTGGTTCCTGATTCCCAAGCATAGGCATGTCCAGTGAATACTCTTGATGTCCATGAAGGGACAAATTACCACTGAGGTTTAGGGAACTTGAACTTTTTCAGTCAGTTGAGTTTTTAAATGCCCTTGTCAACTCTCAAGTCTTTCAGTGTACCAAGCACCAAGCCACTTCCCAAGCCATTCCACAGCCAGACCTGCCTTTTCAGAAGAAAAAAAAAAAACAACAACCCCTACGCCCCCCCAAAACTCCAGATTAATATTTATGCTTATATTTGTCTAAGAGAAGGCAGAAGCAATGGGCGTCTCACACAAATAATAGAGCAGTGCCATTTAAGACAGAAGCACAAAAGCTTTTCCACATCCATAAAAATGAATCATCGTTTGACTACAAACACAGCCTTCACAGTGTGCATTAGGTGAAGTCAGAGATCTGAATATGTTCAACATTATTCAGCTGTTTCCCTCCCAACAGTTACTCCGCAGGGAGTCACAGTTTTTGATCTTTCCATGTTTGATAGATGTTCTGCTCTCCCTTTACAGACGCTAAGTGTTTTATGTTGGAAGCAGCTTCCCGAAGACTTCAGGCAGGATAGACAGACAACTCCACAGAGGCAAGGCAGGCAACTTCCCTCCGCATTGCTTAGCCCCAGCACTACTGTTCCAGGGCTGCACTGGTAAATCCTCGTTTTTAGAACACTAAGAATCAGCAAGCAAAGGGTTTCGTCCTCCCTGTTGTGAATGCCAATCAATGCTTAGCTTCTTGAAGGGACAGAAAAGGTATTCTTTTTGTAATGAACTAGAAAACACCATCTTTTCACAGCTATAGTTTGCCATTTGAGAAAAATCTCATCGTACATGTTTATGAAGGTTTAAGAATTACAGAAAACATACAAAACAGCTGAGAACTACTGGAACCTTTTCTTTTATTTGTATTTTGGCTCTCCAAAGTCAATTCTTGGTGATTCTACTGAAAGCCAACATGCAAGCCTTGTGGACGTAACAAGGCAGGACCCATTACATTTTTTTCCAGTACTAACTCATTAACTGCTGACTGTGAGACAGCTTTCAAGGGGAGAGGGGTGGGCTGTTGTTACATTACTGATCTAAGCACAGTGAAACAAGTAACATTTTGCAGTACAGCAATCAGAACCCCTCCAATTTGGATCAAACCACATACCTCTTTGCTCAACTTTTTCATAAAAAATAAGTGTCCACCACCACCATTTCTACCTTGAACATTTCGGCCTACACGTAACCCAACCTTTACACTTTTTTTCCCAAAAATTCTTTTTCTGAGAAGTTGTAAGGAAAGACTGGTTAGATTTCTAGTGTTGAAAATCTCCCTTCCAGAGGATGCTGCACTACTCAACCAGAACATGAGCTACAGAGTTGCAATTCTCTCGTCTTCCTGTGGCAATGTGAATCCAAACCCACATTGCTTACCACCTCAACACTAGCAGACGTGCTCGGTCTCCTCTCCTCTCCTATCTATTATTGAACATGTATCAAAGACAAGTGCCCAGGAGTTACCCCTCCCAAGAGCACGACTCCTCACCAGACTGGAGAGTCATTCTCCCTTTTGTACCTCTGACACACACTATCAAAGTTCAGCATATGAGTTGCTGCCCTATGAGACCAAATTGCCTCAGCTAACATGTATTGCTAATGACTGGTACCCTCCATCAGAAAATTGGGGAGTTCTTGATTCAAATCCCCGCCCTGACTTCTGGGTAGACAATGTTCAGTCCCCCTTTTTCGCACTGTTCTGTATCTATGTATTGGGTTGAAATACCTGTTGAACAAATGAGAGAGGTTTCTCACAGGGAGGTGAGAAGTGGAGCTGGTGGGCTGCATCTATACTAGGAAATTAAATATGCCCAGGGTTGTCCCTGGCACTGATGCCAAGCGGTGCAGAACAGCCAGCATCCATACTACACCCTCCAACACAGGGGGGCTGCATGAAAACTGCCCTCTGCAATGGCCTGTGCCAACTCCTGAACCACACTGGGAAACAGCTAGGAAGCAGTCATGTCAGCATGGGCCAAAGGCAGGCCAGGGACCACTAAAACAATACAGCAGGACAGAGGGCGGAGTTCCAGGGCCCAGGAACGTTCCCTGATGCTACTTAATTTATGAATATAGCTATAGCCCTGGTTTCAAACCCCTGAGCTAATCAGTGTTTAATTATGAGTATCGAGTAAGGCAATGTCAACTGGAAAGACTCCTCCTCCTGTCCTGTCTACCCCCAAAATGCCTGGTAGCACCAGGACTGCCCTGGTAGAAGCTTAGGGCACTGTTTGAGACATGGCCTCTGGTCTAAGGCAGAGGAGGAAACCTGTGGGGACTGAGGCAAAACACGGGTTAAGTGTGGTAGAACTAATAGGCCATAAGCCGTGGGAGGAATAAGCAGCTGCAGCACTGTTTTGGCAGACAAGGAAGTTGTGTGAAGCAACTCCCTAGATAAGGAGGTGCTGCTCACAGGGAGGAGAGATTCCCTTTTCGGTGGGAACATGATCTGTTAGAGTACACAATGGTGTAAATAAGTAAAGTAGAAAATTAGCAGACTTGGTAGAAAAGTACATAAAGAGGACGCTTGCTTAATAAAGCCGATTTCGATCCTGCATATCGGAGTCCATGTCTTTCAATCCGCCACAGAAACCTAACCACCTTCCTCAGCATCTTCTTGCTCTTCTCCCAGCTAAAACTGTTCAGCGTATGCAATCCACTTTTATGTACTGCTGTTGTATAATCAAGCCATCATTTTTAGCGACATGTCATCAGCTCTGTTTACAGGCAGATCACACAGAAAACTGCAATGTGCTCTACCCGCTTTTCCGGAAGACACAGCTGCCTTTAAGCAAAACTTTGACCTACAGACAGCTACAGGCAGCACCAAAGCTGATATGCAATAGCTATAAACAGAGTAAATAGAAGGCACAGTTCAGGCTGAATCAACTGCCTGGAGACCACTGAAGGTAAATCCCAACTCTGCTGGCTGCACCATCATGTCTGGATAGAATTAAGCTATATGGTCTGAGGGTTTTTTGGGGGGGCTGGCTCCATATAAATGGACAAGGGGAGGGCTTGGTTGCAAACGCTGAGAGCCAAGGCAAGCCCAGCAGCCAGGAAGAGAAGCGATGCCACAAGCGGATCTGAAGCAGAGGGACAGAGTGTGCTGGTTCACAGGACTGGCTGGGATCACCAGATTGGATACAGCAAGCAAACCACATGGCTGCTGCTATAGAAGTTACAGCCTAAGATGTAATGTGTAATATTAGAAAATAAATAAAACTTTACTAAATTTTCATGTCATATCAATAACCTGTCCTGTGAGCAGAAAAACGTGGCCCCCAAACCATTAGCTGACTGCATAAGCGGCAAGAATACAGGTGAAGAATCCTGCTTTGACAGCAATGACCTGGCATGGTTTGTTTATTTTTTATTTCTAGCATCTGTCATTTTGTGGCTCTACTGAGTCATCCTGTCAAACTGTTCTGTTCCAGACTGATGATTTTTATTGTGATATGAAAGCTACATCAGAAAGATAAGAGGTCAAGCTCTTATGAAGTATATTGCCCTCCTATGGTGCAGGGATTATATCTTATCTGCTTTTTCTGGAGTAACAGGGAACATACCACTAGTTCGTAAACTGATATGATTCTCCTGAAAACACTGGAGAGGTATCAATGGCACATGTGCGGCACCATGTCAATATAAAAGAGAGTCTACATTTCACACTTGGCACACAGGTACACACACAAAAACACAAACACTGAGTGCAGGTTTCATTTCCACATCAGGAAAGAGAACTGAAGAAAGAACATCAACATTTAAGGCCCAAGACCTCACAAATCATAT